AAACACAAAAAGTGAACCCTGATTGGCTGAAGCAACTGAGTGGCAGAAGCTGTTAGAGGAGCCTGAGCTGCCAGTTAAGCCTAATCAAGATGACAGTCTCCTCAAAGCACCAAAACTTCACAGCAGAGTCCAGTGGAGAGCCTGCCTGACATTTGTGAATCCTGGGCCAGAAGCTAGAGGAAAGGGAATGTGACCAGGCCAAAGTGGCCCCTGGCCACTAAAGAATGATGAAGACCTCTCCTGGGAATGACTGAAGGACGCATGTGGCACCACTGCCAGGCAGTCTGGGTACTGCTTTGGGTGCCTTCGAAATTGCTGTGATGCTTTCTTGTGATGCTCTGTGGGGAGCCCTTGGCCCCAAGCCCAGCGCCGAGTCCCCAGAGTCTCCAGAGTCTGCAGCCAAGTGGGGGCTCCTCTCTGTCCTCTACAAAGGAAAAGGTTGCTATTGTCACACTCGCCTCCGACTAACTCCAGGGTCTTTTAGGAGTTCGCTCCCCTCATCATTTCTACCTTTTTGGATCTCTCACTCTTGCATGCATCTCCCTTCCTTATTCCTTTACCAGTTCCATGGCAACAGTTACCAACTTTCCTGAGTGGATTCCTGGTTCCTTCCCTCACCCCAGTTCACCTCTGGTCTATATGATCCTTTGGCTCCTGTTTTGGCAGAACAGTCACTGTCCTTGTAAAGTTTTTTAGATCAATACAGGTAGTGGCCTTAAAAGGAAAAGTGAATCTTATTTACATGATGGACTTAGTAAATAATAATGTAATATTATGGGTTCAATTGTAATAAATAAACCACACTAATGTAGGATATTAATAATAGGGAAACTATGTTTGCCTGGGGCAGGAAGAGGTTTTGGGGAACTCTGAGCTTTCTACTCAGTTTTCAGTGAACCTTAAGTTGATCTAAAAAATAAATTTTAAAAGACCATCATATGAATATGTTTGTAACTTGCTTGTTATTAAAATCTTTCCAAGAATTCAGCCTAGGCTGGGGCTATAGCTAGGTGGTAGAGTGCTTGCCTTGTACATATGAGGCACTGGGTTCAATCCTCAACACCACATAAAAATTAATAAAGGTATTGTGTCCAACTAAAATAAGGAGAAGAATTCAGCCTGGACAGTCAAGGGCAAAAAGTTAAGTATAGTATAGAGTGGCATTGGAAAGGTTAGCTAAAGGATTAAATGCAGCTGTCAAAAGATTCAGAAGAGATAGGAAGTTGTGGTAGGGGATGTTTTATGCCAAGTCCACAGAGGAGGGGGAATAGAATTTGAGTGAATGATAAAAATAAGTGAACCCCATGAATCTGAGGATCTCCAAGAGCCTGAGATTCAGAAACAGGGAGGGAGTTTCTCCTCCTGTTCAGGGAGTTCCAGTCCCCTGCTGGCAAGAGGCTGGTAGGACAGGACCAAACAAAGCATGATTAAATCTCATTTACTCTTGTGCTCAGCACATCCCATGACCTCCCTGCTAGGGTGCGGTAAACAGGTGCAAAAGTTGAGCAATTATGGAGGTCAGCTACCTGAAATTACCATGATAGAAATCTGCTGGGGCAGATAAGTTTGTGGGGCGGGAGCCCTGGGAAGGACCTACTCCACCCTAAGCCAGGATGTGTGCACACTAACCCGGCTTCCCACCTGCCTGATACCACCGTGACCCTTCTGAGTGAATTCCCTTCATTCTGGGCCTTTCTCTACTGTCCCAGCTCTGTGTCTGTATGTGCAACTCCCACCAACCAGGGAGGATGTGCCTGTCCCAAGACCTCTTTTGATCTCTGGGGATGCTTCAGGAAAACACTGGAGACTGTTGGCTCGGCAGGCCTGGGCCTTGTGCCTCCCTCCCTGGCAGTCAACTAGGGGCTGGGCCTCCATCTTTTGGGCACAGAATCACTGTTTAGGGGGCAGGGAGGGAGACACATCCATGCTTTTCCCATCTGGGTTTTCTGCATCCCGCCACAGGGGGCAATTGTGCTAAACAGTGGGGCTCTATCAGAGGAAGCAAGACCTGCCACCACTTCCTCCTGGTTTGATGGGGTGCTGAGTGATCCTAGATTTCCTTCAAACCACATCATCAGGGACATCCCCTGCCCTTCGAACCACATCATAAGGAAAGCCAGTACTTCCTGCCCTTTCTCAAATTCTTGGCTCTTTATGGTAAGTTGGAAGGAGGATGCAGAGGTGCCACCTTCTGAGGGGTGTTAGGTGGCTAACACAGGTCCATCCCATCTACTCAGGGCAGTCTTATTATCTTCCTGCTTCCCAGCTTCCTTCTCCCACAACCCCCTGCCCCCCACCCCTCACTGAACACTAGGGCGCCACACTGCCCTTCTCCACCCCATGCTCTCATTCAAGCTCCACATGTTTTCTCTGGGGTCTCTCTTGCTGCTCCAGTGTTCCAAGAGCACCTGCTTCACACACACAATCTGCAACTTCAACCGCCTTTACTTGTCTACGTGGGCTTCTGCACTGCCAGCTCCTTAGGCCCTAATAGAAACTTTTCACAGTAAATTCTAGAGCTACATCGCCATTTTTGTTTTTATTTTCAGTCAGGGTCTCTCTATGTGGCCCAGATTGGCCTCAAACTTGTGATCTTCCTGGCTCTCTACCTCCAGCTTTATAGCTTTGCCTCTCTAGGCACCCTCAACCCTGCAGCCATGGCTCCTTCTCAGTTCCTCACTCATCCCTCTGGGTCTTTTCCCACACTCACTCATCTTGGGAGAAACCCTTCTACCACAAAGTCCTCCCTCATCAATGCCACCATTAACCCCACCAGCAAAATATCTGTGCTTTTAGCCAACTCCAGCTCCTCCACTGGGGTGCTTGCTTTTACTCCTTCACTTATGAAAAACAACATTGTTCCAGAAGCTTCTCCCCTTGCTTTCTCACATCATTATTTTATCCCTCTAAGCTGAATCTTTCCATCAACATCCTGTAGGCTACCTCTCCCATGTTTAAAAACTTGTCTTTCTGGATCCCACTCCCCCTCCAGCTATTGCCTCCTTTCCCTGTTCTTCCACGAAACAAGAGACTTTGAAAGAGCCGATTACACTTGCTATCACCAATTGCTCTCCTTTCATTCTATATTAAATTCAAGCAAGTCATGTCTGTTCCTACCTGAAGCTATTCTTCTCAAGGTCCTGAATGATCTCTATGTTGCCAAAACTAATAGTCAGCTCTAAGTTCTCATCTTACTTGACTGACTGGAACTTTTAATTCCATTGATAATTTTCTTTTCCCTTCCTTCCTCTTTCTTTTTTCTAGTATTGGGGGTTGATCCTGGGAGCATTTTACCACTTAGCTTCGCTCCCATTCATTTTTGTTTTTATTTTCAGACAGGGTCTCTTCTGTGTGGCTCAGGTTGGCCTCAAACATGTGATTTCCTGGCTTGGCCTCTCAAGTCACTGGGTTATAGGTGTGTGCCACTGCACCCAGCTTCATTTTCTTCTTGAAATACTTCTCTCTCTTGACTTCCTGCCACCACACTGTTCTGCTTTTCCTCTTACTTCACTGGCTACTACTTCTCAGTGCCCTCTGCTTACTGGTTCCTCCTTTCCTTATCATTTCTCTTAACAATGTAGAATACCAGGGACCAGCCCTTAGATGTCACCTTCATTTACACTCATTCCCTTGGTGGTCACCTCCAGCCTTATGGTTTAATATGTATCTGTCTGTTTATCTCTATGTACCTATAGCTGTCTGTTTCCTGTAGCCTGGACCCTTTCCTGAACTCCAGGCTCATATGTCCAAATTTTCTAATCAACATATACACTTAGATACCCAGTATTCATCTCAAAGTGTACAAAAGTGAACTCCTGATTCCCTGTCTCCACCACCACTCAATAGCATATTGAAACACTTTGATGCATTTCCCACGTCAGTTAATGGCAACGCTAGTCATTCAGGCCAAAAGCACTTGTGCCATCGTTGACTATTTTTTCCACTAACTATCCACATCTAATCTATCAGTAAATCTATTTAAAACTGTACCCCCACTCCAGTCTTCCCTATACCTCTTACCCTGGTTCTTTACATATATCTAGTCACCTTCTATTACTATATATTTAAACTATGCCTCTTTTTTCTCCCTCCCTAGCTTACTCCCAGTGTAAGCACCTTGGGAGCAGATTTGTTTTTCCCTCTTTCATTCACTGCTATATTCCAAGTGCTTGGTATATGTAGGTTCTCAATACTTGTTAAAGGAATGAAAGAATGAAGTGAATGAATGGCATTCAGCTTGGCAAGCTCATTCTGATCCCTCAAACATTTTAAGGTCCTTTTTTTAAATTACATAAAGGCTTCTCATTGTGTCACCATTTTCTGACACAGCATGCCACTTATTAAACACCATGCCTTTGTTCAGCCTATTCCCACCTTCTGCTCATCCTTTAAAACTCTGCCTACGTATCACTTCAGAAAACATTCCACAAACAACCTCCACACCCCCCCCACCAAAAACCTAGTCTAAGTGCCCTCTCAAATACTTTTACCAATTTCCTCTAACCAGCTCTTGTCATACTGCTTCTAATGACTTATATGACTTCCCCAGAGTTCATGAGCTTCATGAGAGGAAGGCCTGTGTATTGTTCACTGTTGTCTCCCCAGTGTCTGGCATAGTGCCTGGAACATAGTAAATATTTGAATATGTGAATTGTTGAATCCATGACTCAGTTCAATGACAGTTTCTTATGGTTCTTTTGGGTACCTCCTCATCCTGTACTCTGTATTGTGCAAGGCCTTCATTCCAAGGAGCTGGAAGCAAAGGGTTGGAACTGGCAACAGGGCTACTCAGCCTCCCAGATAATTACCCTTAAAGATCTCAATAAAAACAGGGAAAAGATGGAGGAGATTCTGTCATTTGGTCTTAACATTTGTCATGTTAGTTGTGTGCTTTTGATAAACACAAAAGCACCTTCTCAAGGACACCATGGAATCCATGACAAAATTCATGCCTGACCTATGCTTTAAATGTACCTTAAACAAGGATCTTTGTTCTCTGCTTAAGTACCTTTATCCACAGTCCAGGGGTTGAAAGGAATCACATGAAATGCTGACCCATCTGAAATGGATTTAAGCTCCTGTACCACATGGGGAGTATTTTTATTTCCTCTACTCTCTCCATCACATACCACATTGAAAATAAAGAGACACAAACAAGTGGCTCTTTGCTTACAGGTATAGAGTATATTTGGAGAATGCTATGCCTCACCTGCATGTTAATATAAAGGGTGATTGACAGTCTTCTTCAGGGGGATGTAGAAAAAAAACCTCCTTTTTGTTGGAATGGTTATTTTCCTGGGTAAACTGGTGCCTTCTGCTGAGCTGAGAGTTGCGACTTGGGATAGATTTTCTGGTTGGGTGACCCAAGTCAGTTGACAACAGAATTTGGAGCAGTTTTATGAGTGGCACAGTCCTTAAGGTTGGCTGGACTGAAGGGCGTTTTGCTGGAACTGTTGGTGAAGGCACTGAGGACATCAAGGAAAGACAAGTGCTCCTTCTCAGTAGGGGGAGGCAGGGCCATGGGGTTCTCTGTTTTCTTCTCCAACCTAGCTCCTCCCACGCGGTCTTTGGTGTGGGTTGGACCCTTCTTAACCTCTTTTGTCCTGGATCGGGTCACTTTCTCAGCCTTAGATGGGGAAATGGGTTCCTCATGCCTGTGAGCTTTCACTTCAGGGTTAATCCAGTGCGAATAGAGCTTCATCGTATTTCCCAAGTCAATTTCTGGAGCTCCTGGAAAGGTGGAGCTCTTGTGAATATGGGTTGCCCCTACCCAACCCTCCAACTCTTCGCCCAGGAATGTGTGCCCCTGAAAACTCTGGCCCTGCCCAGGTTCATCCTATAAGACGTGAAACATTTGTCCCTGCAAAGTTTGGATTTGAAAAATATAGTCCATTAAAATATTGGACTTGCAAAATTTAGCCTAGCAAATTATGGCCCAATAAGTTGGCACACTATAAGTTCTGACCCTTTAAGGCCAGGCATTCTCAGGAATCCTCATTTGGGTGAGATCATTCAGCTTAGTCTAATAGCCGTGCAGAACATTTTTATCTGGTCTTTTTGTTTCCAAGGAATCTCTGAGAGTGCTCTGGGAACTCAAGGTGAGAGAGATGCAGGTGGAACAGCTGAGGGTGGAGCTGGTGATTCTAGACATCCAGATAAATCCTTGCCAATCCCTACTCACTCAAGGCAACCATCTTGGCTAAAGTTTAATTCTATCTGAAAACAATCCTGGAGATACATTTGAGAAGTCAGGGACTCCGGGGTTCTTCTTAGAAGCTCCCTACTGGCCCTTGAACCTCAGCAGAATGGATGCTTGCTCTGATTGGAGAAAGCCCAAATACCACACCTCCCTCTCTCTGATTCTCAGTTGCTTTGAATTTCACTGGGTCCTCTGTTTTCTCTGCTGAGGTAGGACACTCGCAAAGGCCTCGGCTAAGGACTCCAGAGGTTCTCCAGCTATGCACAAAACACCTGGGCTTCTGTCATGTCCACACAGGGCTGTAAGATCTCAGAGGCACAGTGGGCTGAACCCTGGGGATGAACCATGGCTGAACCTGACCTGGGATTAGGTTGCATTTGGCTCTGCTGCACTATATTTCAAGTGCAATTGCAAGTTCTTCTTTTAAGCAGACACATTTTGGATCTGGGGCATGTGAGATGTCTGGTAAGGTAGGGAATTCCTAGAGAAATGTTTTTGTTTGGTTGTTTAGACTCCTCAAGGTCTATGTGGAAATATTCTTTGAAATGACCAAAAATTGTTCCTTGCACTCCTTTGTTTTATGGGACTTCCCCACATGTATCCCTAAGAATTTCTGAAATTAAACTTTTTTGTGTGTGTGTGGCATGATGGGTGCCTTGAGTAATTGGGGACTGTCAGGGATCCATCTGACATTATAAAGCCACCACCTCTATTCACTTGTACTTTGGCCTGGAGTACCTGTACAAGTCTTATTGGTACCTCGAAAGTGTGGCCCAAGACTTCATATGTTGCTGTTCAAACAAGGTTGAGTCAGAGATTCTAATGGGCCCAAGCACCAACTCTGCGATTGTAGATTAGCTACTGATTGCTGGGGCCATAGCTCTGGAGAAAGCAGCAAAATAGAGAGCAAGCAGCCCTGGCAGGAAGACAAACTTGTTTCCAGTTAGATTCTCAGTGGCTCTCTGAGACAGGGCCCAGGCAGCTCAAGGTCATCAGTATCTGATGAGAACTGGCCAAGGTCTATCAATATTCAGGGAGTCACTTCCTGACCTGTGTAGGGGCTGACAGCTGCTTCCAAGTTCTAGGGACTTATTTTCCAGAGGACGGGGAACCAACTTGCTGCCAGATCCCCTAGAATGTTGAAGATCCAGTGATTTGAGCAAGGATCACTAGACCAAGCATATCTTTCCACATTCGTAATCTATGTGCAACATTTTTTAGCCTAAGCAAGCAACTGTGGGCTGGCACTGCTGCCACAATGGATGGCTACAGGTGGCTGCAGGCTGAGGGCATGGCTGTGCTGCTCCAGGGCAGGGGCTGCTAGTCATCAGGGGAAAGGAGAAACTGGACAGATTGATAAATCTTTGGAAGAAGGCTCCAGCGTGGTAAACCAATCATTTTAACTACTTAACCAAATCAACTATTTTAACTGCTTCTGAAAATGGAATTCCAGCAGCCTGTGGGCATATTCCAGGACAATGCTGCCACCCTCTGGAGGACTAAAACGGGAGGGTCCTAGGTCTGGTGGGACAGGCTGCAACATATCTCAGGGATTATATTGTGTGGTTCTCTGTAGATGACAGAGAGCTCTGGACAACAGATGGCAAGTCTTCAACGGTCCTGGAGCTGACTCTATAGCAGGTGCTAAACAAAAACTGGGCTTTTTAATAATCGAGTGGAAAAAGCCAAATTTGGGAATGTGGGGAAGAAGCTGGGACTACTAAAGTGGAAAAAATTTTAGGCAGCACAGAAACAAGAGAGAAATTATTGACTAGAAAAGGACTAGGGCTCCCCTGTTGTAGAGAGATCTCTAGAGACTAGGAACTCATTGTGCATTCCCCAGGTAATGGAGAGAGGCCACTTAAAAGCTGAAAGGTGGGAGAGGGTAGGGCCAGAGCGAGGGGATGGGGTTTGAGATTTGCTCAGGTGATATTTCTGCTCTGTGGTGGACTGGCTAGACTCCCATGAGTCCAGAGTCGAGGGGATGAAAGCCTATCTTTTCAACAGACACCTTAGAGGTAGTATTCAGAATGAAAAGGAAAAAAAAAGTTACTTGTTTGTTTTCCAGGCCTTGAAAACACTGGGAGAAGTATAAGCTGGGAGAAGTACAAGAACTCCCCCACAGGTCATGGGGCCCTCAATGTGGAAATACATGCGTTTACATCCTTACTTAAAGAGGTACCTAAGGGCCTTTTGAACATAGGAACAGCATGTGAAGGGAATGCAAGGTTGTGGGGTATTGTCTTAAATTCAGGAGCTCCTGGTGAAGGGAAAGAAAGGGAATATAGTATTCAAGGTCTGCTAACCTTTGTTCTTGGGGACAAGTGCAGAGTTGTGCTTCCTTCTCTCCTTCTGGTTCACAGGAATCTTAGGCTCCTCAAGGCTTGAAGAAGACAGAGCCCCTGCATCCTGAGGCTTTTTTGGCACTTGAGATTTCTGCTTTTGCTGGAGGTGGTCAGGTGGACACTGGCTGTATCAGTTGACTGGATAGCTGAATGAATTAAAGGTTTCTGACCCAATTGTGACAGACTGGGGCCAGATGCCTGTGAAAACTGTCTGGAGTCCAGGGAATCCTGCTCATAAGACACACCTGATGTGGACAATGTGTCTAGGCAAGCAGAGCTCTGCAGTGACCCCAATAAAGAAGGGGAGATCTGGTTGTTGTCACACTCCAGCAATTGCTGAATGTCCAGAGCTAGAGAATTACAGATTTGGCAGCCAGGATCTGCACACAGGAGCCGCCGTATACTTTCCACCTGGGGAAGCCAGCCGTGGCTGGGAAGGGAAACATGGCAACTGTTAAGGATGGAGTGACATCCGCCTCTTTGCAAGAATGGGCTGGGGATTGCTGCATCCACTCCCAGTCCTACAAGTCCTATACTCTCTGGCTGTCTACTCCTCTGCTCTTATTCCTAGGAAATGCCATTTGGCAAGGGATGATGAACTGGGCTAAGGTTCTGGGGCAAGCTCTCAGACAACCTATGGAAGGGCATAACTCTCAGAGAAGATGGGAAGCTGGGATCAGTTCTCTGCTGACCTCAGTGAGAAGCTGAATTGAATCAGACAGATGGAGTAGCTAAGTAGTTAGTTGATGGGACGTCACCAGAAACATCATTAGGTAGGACCAATATTAGTTTCATTTGTGGTAAAAAACAAAACAAAACAAAACCTGAAGTCCAGGATTCATTACATCCAAACTGTAGAAAATGAGGTTCTCACTTAGAGAAATATGGGATACCCCTGTGTCCATACCCAGCATTTGTTAGCTATCAGTCCCATTCTCTGGAAATCTTGATAGGATAAGACGATATATTCCTGTTTGAGTGGTCCCAGGAACTCTCCTCCCTGAAGACAGACCAGAGGATGTAATGTCAGCAGGGTCCAGGAAGACCCAGGGAATCTTTCCTTGAAAATGTGTAGCTCTAAGAAAATATAACAATGATGCTGTCTTTCAAAACCCATTCTCTTAATGGGATAATTTGTCTCATGGCTGAATGCAACCCCACATAGTGCCTTTTATGACTTATACACTGATCAAATCCTGAATTGCAAACTACAGTGACCCTAGCAAAGAGTAGAATTGGATGACTCTGTTCCCTTCCCTTCTGAAATGTCTGAAACCCTGTTGGCCCTGACAACTCTAAATAATTAAACCAGCCTCTACCATGTATGTCTCTTCTCAACCATTATTCCTCTCCTCATTCCTGCTCCAACAAAGGCCAAGAGAACATTACAGTTCAGGCTGGGAGTTTGGAGACTGCAAAGAGCAAGAGATCACCTTTTCATGACAGAGAGCAGCTTCCTCAGCTTCTCAGCTTCTTCCTGGGAAGTTTTCTTAGCTGAGGAACCAGGAGACAGTGTTAGGTAGAACAGCAGAGAATTCAGGGACATCCTATAAGGAAGCTAAAGGCTTTTGAATGAGAGGAGACTGAAAACCCCAATGCTCTTAAGTCAAATCTGTGTGCAGCTTAACCATCTATAACAACATGCTCTCCCTAATCTTGTCTGATCTTTACAACCACATTGAGTGGACAAGATCACTGGTGCTACACCCACTTTATGGAGAACAAGACTGAGAGATGAAATTATTTCCACAGGGTTATAAAACTAGTAAATGACACAGTTAATGACATCTGTCCTACATTTTCATTCTTAGGAAGGTAAAATAGAATTTTGGAAGGTTCCTATGCTCTGATTTCCCACCCATGCAGGTCTTTTGTTAGCAGTTGCCACTGGGGGTATTAAAGGCTGCAGTGGTTAGAACACATGGCTTCTGGCACCAGGGATCACAAAGGCTCTATGGGGACCTCAGTCACAGTGGAGTGGAAGGGGCTTTACCTTTTGATGTTCTATCTTTAGACTTTTGTTTGACTGCTCCGTGATGCTTAAAGACAAAAACATTAGAATGTGAAGTTGGGTCACCATTTCCTTTCTCATGTCTAAAATGATACAAAACCCATTAGCATTTCTCAATATTTTTCTGTATTCCATTTAATACTCTTCTGTCATTCTTTCACATACACTATCTTTTTTACCCAAACTTTTCCCTTCTATGCTTATTTCTGACTCACTTTGAAGCTCTTCCAAACTCCATACCTTCCACTCCTATTTCATGGACAAATTTTGTGGGGAGTTCAGGATGAGATAGAAGGAAAAGTGAAGAGATTAAAGGATGGTGGTGAAGGTCCTAAATGGCCCCCAACCAGGATAATGACCCAAATTGGGAGCTGTTCTGGGATCCAATGAGAAAACCCCCATTAAAAAAAATCAAGGGGCAAGGATATAAGAGAAAATGAGGGGATAAAATCTTCTTAATGGAGGCTTATCCATTCGTTTATGATCACAGTATTTCCCTACCTGGCAACAGGTTTCATTAGGTTCTGACTTTAATTTTTGGCGCCCCTTTTTCACTTGCCAAATAATTAATGCAATAATGAAGATGGATCCATAGGTATAGAAGGGATATCCCGCATCCCATACAACAAAGGCAGGAATCAACATGATCTAAACCTCACTAGCCATCCCTCTTCCTAGGTTTCCAGGGTCTTGGAACCTAATGCCTCCAGATTCTAGGCATTGTCACCTTTGCCTCACAGATGGATCAAGACCAACAGACTACATCACAAAGCCTTCCTGTTTCACAAAGCAGGTACAGCATCACAGACTTTCATCTTACAGAAACTCATTGGTGATTCATTGTTCAGATGAGGATGTCTAGTTATCTATATAGGCTGCAGAGCCTGGGATAAAAGATACCAAGTTCGATAGCAGCATACACTCTTCTAGCTCTCTCTATTCCCTGTATCCTGATGCTCAGCTCTCTATTACTACAATAGTGTGGAAACGATTCACCAGATAACACGTTATGCATACTATATATACTTTAAGAGAGTGGCTAAGTCAGAGAAACGAACTACATTATTTGTAACTGGGACAATAACTAAAAAAATACACACCAAGATAGGTCCAGCATAATAATTGTTATGTCTTGGAATCATATTTTTTGACCTCACGAGCAATAAGAGGTATCAATTATCAAGAAGTTCAGAGCCCAGTGTGGTGGTGTATACCAGTAATCCCAGTGGCTCAGGAGGCTGAGGCAGGAGTATCGCAAGTTCAAAGCCAGCTTGAGAAACTTAGTGAGACCCTAAGCAAGTCAGCAAAACCCTGTCTCAAAATTCAAAAATGAAAAAAGGACTGGGGGTGTTGCTCTGTGGTTAAGCACCCCAGGGTTCAATCTCCAATAGGAAAAAAAGTCAGGAAGATCATGTCAGATGTTATCAAAGAAAGCATGAACCTGCCGTCCTTTCAAAATATTTCTGAGAGCTAAAGACCCCTCCAAGGCCTGGTGGTCCAGTATGAGGTTAATCGAAAGAGATCGTAAATATCACCTTCCACGAAGGCACATGAATAAGGCTCATTTTGGGAGCTCTTTCCAAATCTTTATTTTCCAGAATTGCCTCTACAGATCTTATGGTATCTGGCTTATTCATAGAGATAGGTTATTGGCAAGACTTTTGATTAAGTGGTTCTTTGTGGAATCTGCCACCATTAGAATGTTTGGCTGAGTGTTTTATGAAGATCTGAATTTTCATAAAAATTTAGGCATGGGAAAGATTTCCTCCATTCAATCCAAGTACCCCACCATTCCTATATCCACTGATTCACATATGAATGTTAACTTTATGGCTCCTGGCAACATGATAGTATATCTCCAACACCTCAAGATTTCTGAATTTCCTTGAGAAGTTCTTGCCTTGGTAAATTGGTAGTCTGAGGCTCAAAATGTCTGAAAAGGTCACTTGGTCCTTCCTCCAGCATCCAGGCCTCCACCAAACAGACATGGTAAGTACTTGATTTGTGCTCATCCCTGAGATAGACAAAGGTAGAAAGACATTTAAGTTATGTTGCCTGCCTGCCCTCAAGAAACTTAAAAATCTAGTTTGAAAGGCAAGATTAATTCACATGAAGCAAAAGCCAATCTTACAGGGGGCTAGGGAGGGGAAAAATACAGAGTTAGTGTTTAATGGTCACAGAGTTTCTGTTAGAGATGATGAGTAAGTTATGGAAGTGAATAATATGGTGATTATACAACACTGTGAAACTCTTCATGCTGCTGAATTGTACACTTAAAATGATTAAAATGCTAAATTTTGTTCAAGTATGTATTATCCCAATTATGAAACAAACAACTGAAAAACAATCTTAAAATTCATAAAACGAATGACCCAGAAAATCAAAGCCATTCTTAGCAAAAAAAAAAAAAAAAAGATGAAGATATCACAATATCCAACTTCAAATTATACTACAGAGCCATAATAACAGAAACAGCCTGGTATTGGTATAAAAATAGACACATAAGTGCTTGGATTGTAGCTCAGTTGTAGAGTGCTTGCCTAGCATATGTGAGATACTGGGTTCAATCCTCAGCAACACATAAAAATAAATAAATAAAATAATGGTATTGTCTCTGTCTAAAACTAAAAAAATAAAAATAAAAATAGACACATGAACCAATGGAATATAATAGAAGACAAACCCCACGTAGTCATAGTCATTCAATTTTTGACAAAGGTACCAAAAACTTACATTGGATAAAACTTACATTGGATAGCATTTTTAACAAACAGTGCTGGAAACACTGGGTCTCCAGATGTAAAAGATTGAAACTAGATCCATATCTCTCATCCTGCACAACTCAACCCAAAATGGATCAAAGACTTAGGAATAACAATAGAAACTTTGCTACTGCAGAAGAGAACACAGGGGAAACACTCCACCATAGAGGTGCAGGCAGCAGCTTCCTCATAGGACTCCTATAGCTCAGGAAATAAAACCAAGAATCAATACGTGAGATGGCATCAAACTAAAAAGCTTCTGTACATGAAGGAAATAATTAAGAGCATGAAAAGACAGCCTACAGAAGGGGGAAAAAATCTTTGCCAGCTACTCTTCCCATGGAGGATTAATATCTAAAATACATAAAGACCTCAAAAAAATTCAAGATCAAAAAACAAACCAACAAATGGATAAATGAACTAAACAGGCACTTCTCAAAAGAAATATAAATGACCAACGATTATATGAAAAAAATGTTCAACATCTCTAGCCATCAGGAAAATGCAATTCAAAACTACACTAAGATTCCTTCTCACTCCAGTCAGAATGGCAATCATCAAGAATACAAATAACAATAAATGTTGGTGAGAGTAAAGTGTGCCTGGGTTCAATTCCCCAGTACTGAAAAAAATGAAACTAAAAAACTAAAATGAAACTACCATATGATCCAGTGATATCAACTCCTCACAATAACCAAGGTATGAATCAGCCTAAGTGTCTGTCAACAGATGATAAAGACAATGTAGTATATATACACAATGGATTTTTATTCAACCATAAAGAAGGATAAAATTATGCCATTTGCAGGAAAATGGATTGAACTGAAGAGCATTGTTTTAAGAGAAATAAGCCAGACTCAGAAAGATGAGTGCCATGTGTTTTCTCTCATATGTGGAAGATAGAAACTTAAAAAGCAGGAGGAGGTAGAGGGACCTCATGAAAATAGAAGGTAGACCATGGGGACAAGGGGAAAGGAGGACAGGTGGGCAAAGGGAAGTACTGGAGGTGAACTTGATCAAATTATTTTATATGTATATACAAGTCTGCCACAATGAAACCCATTATTCTGTATAATTAATATGCACCAATAAAAATGTTTAAAAACCCAAACAACCCAAAAAGTCATAGCATGAGAGGGTTTTTGCTAGCTATATGGAAAAATATTCTGAAAATAATTTGACGAAGAAATGGATTAGTGAATGAATATTTTTCCTAAGCTTCCTTTTCTTTGCTTTCTTTCTTTTTTTTTCTTTTTCTTTTTTTACTAATACCTCACTCTCCTTCCAGCCACTTCTCCTGGAGCGACAGGTACATCAGAACTTTCACACAGCTTATTGCAGATATTGTCACTCTTATGTCCATGAAAACAAAATAGATCTTCACATTAAAGATGATTTTTTAAAAGTCCTATCTGAAGATGAGATGAATTTGAGCCATTTCAACATTTTTTCTGAACTTGCAAATTTCAAAATACAAGAATGAGAAGACTTGTTCATCCAAAGAGCACTGAACAACAGGATACCAGAAGTCAAGTAAAAAGCAGCTTGTGTCAGCTTTTCAGTAGCAGGTAAACATACCTGCAAAGTAGCTTGTATCTTTTATAGGTTGGCTATCCCTGATCCAAAATCCAGAGAACTCCAAAATCCCCCCCACACACAAAAATGAGCACCAACAAGATGCCACACATGGAAAATTCTACACCTGATCTCACATATGTGTCATAGTCAAAACGGAAGCACACTAAAAAAAATGTATAAAATAAACTTTAAGCTTCATGGATAAGGTGTATATGAAACAAATAAATTTCCTGTTTAGATTTGGGTCCCATCCCCAGGATACTTCATTATGTATATACAAATATTTTTAAAATCTAAAATACTTTCCTTCTCAAGCATTTCAAATAAGGGATAATCAATGTGTATTACTTTTTTTTTAATGTGATCTCACTATGGTGCCCAGGCAGATCTCAAATTCTTGGGCCCAGGAGATCCTTTGGCCCCAACTTCCCAAATACTGGGATAATAAGCAATGTGTCACCATGCTCAGCTGTATTACTTTTATTAATCCCAGGCAATCAGTTCTTGCTTCTAGCAGCTTCTGTGCCCTCTAGGCTATTTGAACAGTTCAGTTTCTCATTGTTGCAAACTCCTCTCCAGCAACTTGCCTAGTCCTTGCTTTCAGAGCTGAGGAATTAGAGCCACTTCCTGATTCACAGAGGTGACTGTTCCCAGAGTAGCCTTTAGCATGGATTTAGTCAGTACCTGTCCTACTTGCAGACTGAGGGTGCCCATGCAGACAAGAAGGCGGGATCAGAGTCTTCCTAAACAAGGGCACTCTCACATGATGCACAGCTAGGCCTGCTATTTTTAATGATGTGGGTATGGATCCTCACATCTGCCCACCTGCCTCACAGCTTGAACAGCAAACCAGGGAGGGGAAGAACATGAAGAGCCTCTGGAGACTCTGGAGGGCCACTCAGCTGTGAAGGATTCTTATTCGTTTGTTTCTAGGAAAATTGCTTAATCCAGATCCTGCTTCCATTATAATGCTGTAGTGCCACAGTTATCGTCATCAAATTTCTTCAGGAAACTGTTCATGGCTACCGATTCTTACATGTTATAGGTCGTACATCCTTGGAAAGAAAAATCCTGACAGACATGCCACCGATGTGAGTCTTGTTCCTAGGCACGAGACTTACCAGTGAATACCTAGGGTGTTCTAAGGTTCTGGGGACAGAGATGCATCACCACTTTTATATCTGACTATCATTATTAATGACCAAGAACCAAAATTACCAGGGGTGCGGGGTTGGGTGGTTGTAGCAGTGTCAGGCAGCAAGAAGACCAGAGCTCAGAAGCCAGTTAGTACACCGTGCACCAGTG